ACGAGAGCCGCATTGAATGGCTACACTCTCGTTCCGACAAGGGGGTTCGTTTATTGCCCTGTCCCCCTTGCTTTCTACCACGCGGAAGTCTGTTGTGTGTGAGAAGGGGCAACTGTCTCAATGGAATAGGCGACATGCGAAAGCGAGCGAGCAAGCGAGCGACACGGCTCCATGGCCTATAAAGGGCAGAACCGAGTTGAGACCGACGACGCCCCGAACGACACGCCGTGGAGCAGCCAACAGCCAACGGCCAACATTCCGGGAGATGTGGGGGGAGCCACGAGGTAGACTGACGTACTGTAGGCGTGATAGACCTAGCATCGGCGGCGGGCTCGATCTCGACATGCATGTTGTCGTTGTGCTCGACCAACGTTGCGTTGCGCTCGAGAGTCATGACAGGTTGTAATGGTAAATCTGCTGGCCCAGAATCCATACGCCGGCGGTTGAAGAAGGTAGCGTTCCCCATACAGCGAGCTTCTGGGGTGTACCATGCTCGTCTGATCCTGCCTCGATCCGTATGGCAACTTTGCCAGTGGCATGGACGCGGTAGGCCGACGTCGTATTGGATCAAAAACGATTCCCTGACGAATCTGCCACCATGTTGCCTGGTGTGCTGTGCCAGTTACCCATCATGTGCTTAGAGTAGATTCGGCGGCCTGTCCTCGCGGAGGTCATTGACTCTGACACCTCGAGGGAGGTACATGTACGATCTTGATCCATTCTGAACGATAGGTCCTCATAATCCGAGTCAGCAAGCCTTCATTCTGTCCTTGCTAGTATTTCCACAAGCAATCGAAGATCATCAATCCGCAACTCGCAGGGACTGTACAGTACCTTAGTAGGGATATTGCTGGCTGGCAGGTGCAAGCATTGATGCCCAAGGTTCTGAACAAAACCTGCAGAAGACAGGACGCTGCTGTCTCCACTAATCTCCAAGTCGACAAGCTGCAGAGGGTCGCACCTCCCTCTGAAATTGCACCCCGAGCCACCCGATTTGGACAGGCTTGTAAGGCAGGAGAGAGTGAGTGCACAGGGTAGGTACTTGTAGTGCACAGGGCAGGTTCGAGCTGTTCGGTGGAAGGCTCGCCCAGGTCTGCCACTCCTCAATAGCTCAACCGCCTGCTCAACACGGTGCGCCGCCAAAGCGGTTCAGTGACGCGATGTCTGTTTGTTGAACGTCAGCTTGATATCTCCTCCTGTTGACCTTATGGCTTGGCTCCTATAGCTGCTCGCAACCGTGGGGTGTTTTCATACCGACTGGCTCCTATCGAGAAAGCTCCTCCGAGAAAGAGAAACAGTCTGGCAAGGCCGCCGCATGTACACTCCGCCGTTCTACGTTTCTGGTTTCCATGGTTTCTTAAAGGTCAAAGCACTACCACTCATCGACCTGCACTTGGTTTCGACGGTAGGCAACGCGGCCTCTTGCTGCTCGTGCTACTGAAACCGTTCTGCCCACATATCCACTACCGTGCACTGAACCGTTCTCTTACCCTGTAACCCGAGGACGATGCGTTGGGCACGACACGCCAGCAGAACTTTCGTCTTACAGCGCAAATCCGACAGCATCTCACGATATTCAAACCTAACGGTATCTTTCATGCCGCTCAATACTATCAGTATCCCATTCACAAGGAAACTTTACTTTTCACCATCGTATACATGCTACCCGAAGCAGACCTAACACCCGTGAGCCCATCACCAGACTTGCAGTTGCCACCGCGGCCCAAAGAATGCATGGTCGGTACGTGGTGCTACCCTACCTGCTTGCCATGGCAGGCTGCATGCGTGTTGCTTCCTGGGCTATCCGACCGATACTTACCGAACTGCTGATTTGCGCAATTCGGGGTTGATTCGGCTAGAAAACCAGAGCGGCATATTGGTCCCTTCCCTTTCCTCTTCAGGGACCTCTTCAGGGACCTCTTCAGGGACCTCTTCAGGTACGACACTCGTGCTGGTCCAGATGCAAATCGCTGGTTATCTTTCCCGGAACCGAGAGGTGACAGCGCACACCCCCCACAGTGCTGAGGCCAACACCGATCGACCCCAGTCTCGAGAGTCCCTTCCCTCGTCAACCATCCCCACATTGCTACCGCCGCCGCTGCCGGGCGCCAGCACGCATCTGTACATCCGAGACGCTTGTACAGACGACTGCGACCTCACACCCGTCTGGGACTGGTATTGAAACCCTCAGACGCTGTTCACTTCTGAAGCGGCACATGACCTGGCAAATGTCGCACCTCGACAGTTCCGACATTGACCGACATTGAAATGGTGCACCGTGTTCTTCCCCTCTTCGTGGCTGGTCAATCCCTCGGAGGTCGAGGGGCTGTCGCGGAGCATCTATTTGACGTTCGCGCTCAGATATCCATCAAATCTCAGATCGCCAGCAAAAGCAATATTCGCCAGCATGGACCCGCCAAGTCGGCTTCATTCTGAGTGCCGGGACCCGGCAGCCACTCATTTTTCCAGCTTTACCGTTGTCCCGTTGTTCAGCTCTCCAGCCTCGCTGTCACTTGGCAACCATGCTTTTACTCGGACCTCTGCAAACCCAAGGGCTGGGCCGTCACCGACAGGAGCCCAGGTACCGACCTGTGTATGCGTGACGCGACAGCCTCAGCTAATTCGCTTGCTTCGACTCTTCCATGCTGACTGATGGGCAGTTCGTCCAGGGCTGGGATCGATCTCTGGAATACGCAGTTCCACCAACGACCTGAATGAAGCTTTGGACGTCACGATCATAGATTGTAAGGGCTCCAAATAGTGGAGTGGAGGCTCCCGTCCTCTGCAGTCCTTCCTTCCCATTCTAGCTCTGATCGGCTGGCCTCTCTTCATGCAAAAGGGCTCGCTCATGGTATGATTGTCGAGATATCTCGGAACACACCCCATTTCAAGGCCCCGCTAGAAACCTTAAGCACCTTGATGGCCAGCGCAACGACGTACTATGTAGCATGGCCCTGTCAACACGTTCTCCGTTCCGAGGCGCAGTGGTACAAAGGGTTGCTGGAGGAAGTTGCGGACGAGCACAGAGGATCCGTGCTCGGCAACACAGCAGAAGGGGAACACTCATCATTCTACTGGCACACCTCCTTGGCTGAGTCATCTTTTAGGATCAGCCCTCATTGTGTCGAAAACGCCGTTCCAGACATTGCGTTTGCAACATGACATACTGTGTGTTGAGGTGTCAAAGCGCAACGAAAGCGCCGCCCGCACCCCTCCTCTCCACCTAGCAGTCACAACCACCCCGGTAGGTTTCACACCATGACAACAGAGGTCAAAGCGGGAGCAAGGCTCCCCGGTTTTGCTGAGCTGCTGTGGCCTTTCCAAACTTTTTTTGCTCTCATCTGATATTTTCGACCCCTGAACCCAACTAACACACTTTGGTGCCTACGAATGCATCACACAAGAATCGGACGAAGCTCGGGCCATGGCTGCTTCTGCCCACCACCTTCCTGGTTGGCTTGGCATCCTTCTTTTCGCAACTAACGACAAGACTGGCAAAGCTCAGCGCATCTTGACTTGAATGACATCCACTCCCTGCGAGTGCCTAGACGCTTGATGGTTAGATGGGAACTTTGACAGCCCGGAGTCCGTTGCTATGACCGTAGGCCCACATGGCTGAGAAGAAGGATGCTCGATGGCAAAGAGGGGGGGGGGGTGTGAGATGCCGACAGCCCACGATCTCGACTTTGCAGAATATAGCCATGCCAACACACCAAAGAATCGACGGTGGTCAGGCTCTCGACGGCGTTATCATGTTGATGATCTGATATCAGAGGCTCGACAGGGCTGACCCTTATGTTGCTTTGCCGCTCGCTGCCTTGTCCCCCTGGCTGCAGCTTCCCTCAAGATGCACCCCATCGTGGGATGCAACAGCAAGCTGGGTTATGTGACCCAGGCAGGCTCCCTGCACGAGGCTCAGAACGGCAGTGGACTTGGGGAAGATGAATTGTCAAGGAATTGCACGCCCTGCAGCGCGGCTCTACAGCCGGACACGAGTGGGGCTGTTCCACATTCGGGCTCTCCGCCAAGGGGTGTCCGAAGATCGCAAACACCCCAAGCAAACGCAGGGCACCTCTGATGCGGCGCGAAAGGCTGTGGGCAGAACGGAAATAAAGTATCAATTGCCTTGTCCCTGATCCCTTTCTCTGTCATCATATTGCCACGCAAACAAGCTGGGGTTTGAATCATGCCCGGCGAGTCATACTGTAAGCCAAGGCTGTGCTTGAACCTCACTCAAGCTAGGTTTACACTACTTCGCAGATATCGCCTGATCTGGGGTATGCTGAAAAATTAAGCGCCCAAGGTAACCATGATCACGCCGTCTCTGACTCTAAGCGCTACACCTGGGACTTGACACGAGATCATCTACACACATGTATGTGTCTTCTGAGCTCCGCTTGTTCACTATCATCCCTGCCCAACAAGGATCGTAGCATTGGACTCCCTTGGCGGAACGGAACTCGATCTTGACAAGAGTCTCGAAGAAAGGGGCTCGGACTTGTCCAGATTGACAGATGCAGCCTACATCATCACTATGCAGTCAGTCTACTCGTGTTGCCTTCTTGTCCGATTCAACGAGACCTCGATGCCTGTAACTGATGTGCTTCACAGCAAGCCATGCTCAGCGGTTCTGAGCTTGACACTCACCTCATCTCCCGCCGCTACTTACATTATATTGCGTCTAATGCAATGCGTGTCCCTCATACAGGGCGATCGAGCCGATCCCAAGGCACGACCCTCCTGCATCTTCCTAGACCCCAGTTTGATTTCAGCAACTCGATTTGGCCATGTGCATGAGGGCCTGGTCCTGGTTGCTGAAACTTGGACCACCTGCTCCGACAACACCGTTGCAAAGACGCGCACGGAAGTTTGCTCCTCTGATGGGTCGGGCTTGCTGTATACGTTACCATGTACGTTGCCATCTCTAGGACCGGTTGACTCAAGGACAACAGGCCTGTGAAGCTGATGGACCTGGGTTTGCAATCACGAAGATCAATCGACTAGCCGCCTAGACTTTCTTTCCTATTATCTAGCCGAGCCCTCGGACAGCTCATCGCCACTACTACCAGGTCTCGGACCCCGCTACCGGGCGACCCGGCACTCATCTCGCTGGTCACTCTGCTGCTGTCCGAAATTCTGGGTCAAAGCGTCCCAAAACATCAGGCCACCAACGAGAGTCCAAGTTGGGATGAAAGATGTCACCGCACACGAGCATCAATGCAGAGCCTTGGCTCCTATCGTGAACGAGATTTCGACTTATCCCGTAGAAGCTGACCCACGAGGTCCATCAAACAGGACTTGGTGAACATATCATCATGGTACGTTTGTTGCTACCACGTGGCACGACTGCGGTTGATTAGTACGACGTTCCTGAGTCACAGAAATCAAGGAGCGCAAACCCAGCACATAGCCAGCCGTCGGTGATCCAGCGACGACAGTGCGTTGCCGTATGTGGTGCGTACCGTTTAAAAGAGTCTGCAGCGTTTCATCCCTACCCATCTGGTATGGAGCCTCGGAGAACGGGGCGGACATGACCCACGCCCAGATGATGACCAAGAGCGACGTGCATGCATACGTACGATGTTCGAGAGGGAGAGAAAAGTCTCCGTTGCTTCACTCCAAGGGCCGAAGTATTCTTTACCGCGTGGCAGGTGTGCGGGTGAGTAGACCAGTGTCATTTCTCACATACGACTATGACTATTATTGTCCCTGGCTTGCGGAACCAAGCTTTCCCAACGCTGCACCACAGGCAGCCATGCTTGCTCATGGATCCCAGGAACGAGGGCTGCTGCACCCCGTCCGTGGCATCACTCTTGGTGCCCTGCATCCTGCGTCCTGCCACTCGTGTCGACGTCTTTGAACCTACAGCATGGCAGCTGCGGCGATGAGGCCTCCCAGCACGCCGACAGGCATCATGGTCGCCAAGGGCCCTGCGTTGGGGGTAGAGGTTGAGGCAGTGTTCTGCGCATTTGCGGCCGAGCCGGTTGTCGATGCCGTCTGCGAAGCTGCTGTGGTGGCAGCGGCGGTGCCCGAAGCCGTTGTCGAGGTCTCGGACGCCGTTGTTTTGCAGACGACCGAGTCGGGCAAATCGGTGACGCCGGAACCTCTGCAGAGGCGTTTGGCATAGTTAACAGCAGCCTGTTGCTCCTGCTGCGTGCAGCCGGCGGCAAGGCAGCATGCCATGTCGTCGAGGAAGCTCTTGTTGCTGCAAATGCACTTGTTGTCGAACTGGCCGCAGCCTGCAATGTTACCACCGGTCGTGGCCTCGATGACGCATGGTTGCTGTCGGCAGCAGAATGGTCAGTCTCGCAGTCACCAACGCATCACCAGAGAGCCAGGAAGAAGACCGACCGGCGAGGCCTCAAGCCCGCCAGTCATCAGAGAGTGACGACGATTGCTTCAAAGGGAGAGGGGGGGGGTCAATACGCACGGCGCACTTGGGCAGGTCACCCGTCGACTGAGCGGCAACGAGGCCGACGAGGGCGAGAATGGAAGCAGTAATCAACTTCATCGTGATGTCAGACAGGGACTAGACTACAGCGAGAGATGGTGGATTGCGCAACTGTTGTTGGGTGTGGAACAGTGGGATGGCGGTACGTCAGGGCGCGAAGAGGAGAAGGGGCGCGAATCCGCTCCTGTCGAACGAGGCACCAGGCCCGAGCCCCCAAGCCCCCTTTGAACACGGTCCCTTGCCTCCTTCCTCATCCCAGGGGTCGCGAGGCCGAGATTGGCTGACGGCGGGGGGGGGGAGTCTCGACCCAGATCGATGCTGCCCCACTGATGGCGACCTGCTTGCCTGCGTCCCCAATCATTTCCGAGGAGCGAAGCAATACTACTGGCGGGCCAATGCAGGGCAGGAACTACTGCATGCCAAGCAAGTGCATTCCCCAGGATGCGGAAAGCTTGAAGGAGCCACAGAGACACGCACTTGACACGCAAAACCTGGATGGGGCTGATGAGGATGAAATTCAGCCACCACGTCTTTCCAGCCTCAGTCACATCAACCTCCCACAGCCTCACGAATGATGGCTTCCTATCCATCAGCTCTGCTTCGCTACCGCTGCTACCGCTGCTACCGCTACCGGCCGCCATCGTCCGTCTTGTCAAAGCCATCGAAAGAACCCTGCTCAAGGATGCGACGCGCGGCTACGTCAACATTCAGAGGATGAGCTCTTGAATTTGCCGATCAGCGCACTCGGGCGCCTCCTCCGCCTACTATGCTCATGTCCGCAAATCGACCGCTGAAGTCTTCCAACGCAATGCGGATATTCGGTCGAAGCCAGCTTGCGCACGCGTCATGGCGCCGCTAAGCGGGCCAGACACGCAAGTACAGCACATGGTACATGTACATTATCGAGCAACGAGCAGCATCTGATCCCACTATGCGAGACTGCGACAATCTCCGACTATTGCCGTGCACAAAGTTTAACAACGACCATCACTGCCCTGACCGAGCCTTCCTCACTGGGCACCTGAGGGTAGGCTGCCGCCTGGCACGGCCCAGCTCTACATGTACAGCCTCTCAGTGCCGCCGGTACCTACAAGTACAAGTACTCACTTAGTTTCTCTCATCCGTCTGTCTCCACGCAAAAGAAATGCGTATTGTTGTTCCACCGCAAGCCACTCCCGGGCCCACTGCGTCCTAGACGCTGCAGAAGGTTCAAGCCGGTGTCTCTCGGGCCTCCCGCCTGCAAGCCTCAACCCGCCGCCATTCCCATCCGTCCACGAGACGAGATGCCTTCTAGGTTTTGCGAAACCGAACTTGTCGCTCGACGGCGCGAGCGCCACGGGTAGTACAGGCCGGTCACTCGGTTATTCCCTTCTTGTGTAGCCGACCTCAGCCCGACCCAGAGCAGCCCGACTGCATGATCGACGGCGGCATGTCCTGCGGAGACTTCCTCTACAGGTCAAGACCCGGGAAGCGGGCTGGCTCGTCTCTTGCCTGTCCGACCTAATGACCCGCCTGAGCGCACAACGCTGATGTCTTACGCCAAAGGGGAGAAAGGAGGTGGGGGACGGAGGGCCGAGCGACTGGGACCATGGGCTGCTCAGAACAGCTTGCCGGGTCGGCGAGAGCTTGAATCGCCGCCCACCCGCCTGCCCCCTTCCCATCCCTGGACGCCCTGACCACACCGTCGGGCTCGTGGGATGTCGACAGGGCTCGGAGCTGCGGATCGTCACTCCGATAGTCTTCTTGGTGACGACCGGCATCATGCAGCCAGGGTGGGAACAAACGCGGTGGCTCGAGTTCGTCACAGCTGCAGGCCTGTTCGATGGAATTGCCGGACCCTCCCCACAACAACGCACATCTCATCAAACAGGCCTCTGCCGGATCGCCCCGCCCTCTGACCTCGAACGATGAAGAGTACAGTAACCCTACGATATGCAGTGTTCCAGGCGGTATTCTGGCCGAGACGGGCTTCATTGCACAGCGGCCAAGCAATTCATTACAATCTAGCGCATCAAGTAGAGGGTATGGCGCGGATAGAAGAGTGCTTCGGGCTAGATCATGAGATGGCTTTGTGGGCGCAGCAAGCAATAGTGGTGGGCACATCAGCCTTTGCCCGTGCTGACGCTCAACACGCCCTTGTTCATACTATCGTCGAGCTTACATTGGAACTCCGGCGCCATTTACGCGTTGCAGCATCCTCGCTCGTCAACATGTACGATTGATACATAGAGACGCACGCCCGACCGGTCGAGGCTCGCCTACAGAGACGCTTTCACGCTGCCGTGCGGAGATGCAGTTCGCTCCTCGCCGAAATACATGTGTAACACAGCAAAAAATTAACAGGACGACGGGTTCGACGCTGCGCCGTCAAAGTTTCACAACCGGACAAGGATGAATCCGCGGCCTGCTTACCATGTACATGCTTGGCTTCCGGCACGCTCCGTGTGAGGCTGTCACCATGCATATCTGGCGCCGTCGATGGAAGCACCGTCGTAGATTTGCCACGACAAGACCAGAGGCTCACGATAGGTTCACGCCCAGCAAGGCGATATACCTTGTACCCGTGTGAAACTCTGATATTCGGTTCAAGTTCTGATTTCATGATAGCTTGCTTGATGCATCCTTGGTCATGCGTCGTGCCACTAGCCGATGCAAAGTTGGATCACAATAACAGATGCACATCACGCGATACCAGGCGGGCACCTTTGCCTCTTTCGTCCTGGTGTGTCACCGCACTGATGGTCTGTCACGGCAATCATGGTCCCACCGGAACACCCAAGCCCGACCCTCCAGACCAACTGCCGCTGGTCCCCTTGGTCCAAAAGTGTATCCGTCGGGTCGAAATGTACCCTTCAATTCAAGGAAGAGAAACTTGCTCACCCCAAAGAAGCCTGCCTCTGATATGCAGAAACCACGCCATTCTCAATCCAGGAACTCGGATTGTCCCCCTTCTTGTTTCGGTCGAAACGTGGGGGCGGGGGATCTTCCCATGCCCACCTATTCAGGAACATGTTTCCTCCCTCCCCGCCTCCAAGGAGAGCGAGCCAACGCATTGATGTACCGATGCATCTCGCCTTCGCTTCGGGCGAACAACGCCGACGAGGGGGGCCACTCTCTCTGACTTTTTTTTTTCCTCCTCTACTTGTCAACGTCGGGATCCGTACGTACCGGTCACTAGAAACTGCCGTGCAGACAGACCACCAAAGCGCGCGCGCACATCGGATGTCGTGAGTCTATTCGATACGGATCTCGCGAAGGTTCCAAGGCGGGCTTTGGGGGGGATTTGACACGCCATCCGTGCCGTGCCCACCCTCTCGTCCTTCCTCTCACCTCACCCTTCTCCGTAGGTAGGTACATGTCGGTACCCCACTCAATTCCCTCGTGGGCAGTGGACATTTCGACATGCCTCACCTCGCTGACTCGAAAGACGCGGCCATGTCATGTCGTCTGGGATTGTATCGTCTGAGCGGCGGAAGAACCAGGTTCCGCTTTTTCTCACCCCCTCCAAAACGAATGACCCCCTTCCAAGCCGCCGCCGCTCCCCCTCTCGTCTTTCTCGTCCCAACGTCAAATCGTCAATCTGGAACAGATCCGGTACGCGAGGTCATGGCCCAGAAACTTCCTACCCTGCGGGAGAGAGAGCTAGGGAACGACGGCTCGGTCAGCCGCAAGCCTAGGCCGAGAGACAAAGTAGATTCGAGGTCCCTGCGAGGCAACATGATCATTTGCGCGGAGATATCGTGACCTACAGTACATGTACACACTAAGCAGGTACGCTAGATGCATCAAAAGGGGGTGGATGCAGGGAGAGAAGAAAAATAGACGCCGCACCCGTGCCGTTTCCTCTTCTTCTATTGTCTCCCTCTCCCATCTTCTTACGACTGTTCCCCCAGAAGGATCCATTCTCATCTGTCTGTTCCCTATGCGAGGTAATTTGAGGCTCTTGGATCCAAGATGGCGCAAACCTTATTTCTGACTTGGGCTGGGACCCCTGGCTTGCCAGTGCCTTTGGTACCTTACCCTGGTCTCCTCCAGCTTGACCAGTCAGTCGGCGCTGATTCATGAGGTCGGGGGTGGTGGTAATAGTGGCGGTGGCACGTCGGGCAGAGCACACGTCAATACAGACCCCCGTCGTCAAGGGTCCCAAAGCGGACGGGGAGGGAAGAAAGCGGGTGGTCTGTTCACGGGGAGGAGGGTGACATCCGTTATGGGGCACGGCAGTCAGCATTGGGTACCCGACAACCAAGATTTCGTCCCCTTCCTACCATGTACATGCTAGTCTTCTCTTACTTCTCTTCCTGAAATTTGGGTGCTTCAAGCAGTCCATCAGTGCAGATCAAGCTTTGATCCCTGTCTGAGCCGAGACCTCGCACTCCAAGTGGAAACCCCAACCTCAAGCTACGGCCACCTCGTATGCCGCCGTGATCAATCTGACCGCTCCCTTCTCGTCGACAAGTTTTCCCTCGAAGAAAATGTCACGCAGCCCGTCCTCAGTCCGGCACAACTTGTCCGCCCTGTACTGGAGCTTGACGAATAAATCTCCGTCGTCCCAGATCTGCTGTGACCCCTCGGTCAGGGTGGCCATCAGGTGGAGAAAGACGGCCAGAGCCGCGTGGTATTTGTCCGTATCTGCAATAGCAGAGTAGGGGCTTCCGGTGCGGAGGAATTGTTCCAAAATGTCGGAGTCCGACGGGATAAGGTATGTTCCGTCCAGGGCTGAAAGTGGAACCGCATAACATCGATCAGTAATGGCTTCTATGCCAGCGCCGCGTTCGTTGGACGTCTCGGTCTGCTTGTTCACCAAGTTTTGGAGTGCTGTGCTCGCTTCTCCTGGGCCAGCTTTCTTCTGCAATTGAACGTGCTGCTCGGCGAGATAATGCAGGAGCCGCATCCAGACGAAGCGCTCAACGTCCTCGGGGCTGACGTCCTCCATGAGGCCAGCGAGGCGGACGAGCACGAGGAACCCGTCAATCGGATACTCGAGTAAGGGGCTCTGGTGGATCGTGGACTGGAAACCTTGGAAAGTCACGCGAAGAGCCTGCTGCAGTGGCATCGTGTCATTGACGACGCCTAAAAGCGGGCTGCCCACCGGCGTGAGGCCAGCCATGGTGGAGATGCCGGGAAGCTTCGACAGCTCTCGACAGCACCATTCCAAGCTCGGCATGAGGGTCTGGCATTCGGACTGTATCGCGCCGTCGACCAGGTCCTCAATGGTAGTGCAGAGGGTGGAGAGGAAGACGAGGAACACAATGCTGTCACGGAAGCGGTGACCGTATACTTCCCCCAGCTTGTCCTCCCACAACTGCCTATTCTCACGCTTGTGTAGCGGAACCAGCGGTAGCGCAACCGTCACACGGTCTTCATTCGGAAGCTCACCAGCCTGCAAAAGCAGGGAAGCGCACCCATCGCAGCATGTTATAGGGAGAATGACGTCTGTCTCGGGATAGTTGCCGAGTACGAGAGGATACATGTGACCAAGGCGCTGATTTGCCTTTGGCAGATGCAAAGTCCCTGGCTCATCGGAGCTGGTCTGCAGTAGCAGTGTCTGTATTGACCTGGGTTCTCTGCATATCGGGCACGTAGCATATGCGCCGGGTTGCCTGTCATACACAGTGCTTCGCTCGCCTTTGTACCCCGGGAGGAACAACAGGTCCCTAGTTCGTCTGCCTCGTTGACCGATATACGCGCTGGGTCCAGCTTGCTGGTACGTGCCTGGACCTGTGTCCTGGTGATGATGATAATTTCGGTTGGGCCCAGGGCTCAAGGGGCTCATTCTTGCCTCGTTCCTGGCGGACCTTGCACCAGAATAATGCGCTGTGTATGGCCGTCTTCCGCCTCCCACTGGGGACGACATAGGTGTGAGCATGGCTGGACTCGCTGGGGCGCGCACATCGTTCATGGTCATAGTTGAGAGCACTTCGGCTAAAGTGTCGTTCAGTTTGCAGGAGAGTTCCCAATCGGCCTCAACCTGGCTTTCAAAGTGGGACCAGTTCTGGCGGTGTGCAACGCGAAGCCCTGACCTGAAGCTGTCGATGTACGTGATGGGGGGGGCCTCAGACATCTTGGCCTCAATACCATCAGATGTTTCATCACGAGACAGTAAATCCCACAGATCTTCAGTCTCGTATATCGGGGCTAGGCTTTTGACCTCTTTCAATAAAATTTTCATGCAGTTCAACCCATTGGAACCAACATCCTCTCGCTTCATCAGGGCCGCTTCCGGGATCTTGTGGTGACGACGAGCACTCTCGATCCAAGACTTCACATCTTGATCTCTGCCGCGAGTTTTGGCGGCCAGGAGGATGACATCCAGTGCAGAATAGTCTGCCAGCAGCTCAATGGTTTCTTCTTTGGACAAGGTGTCACTGTACAGGCTTGTCATATCGAGCGTCTTCCCCCCTGGGAGGACCACAGCATCTGCCGAAAGACGTGTCGGTTGCGGGACCTGAACCCTGGAAAGGTCTTCGTAGGTGATCCGAATGAGATCTTGCCATCGTGTGGTCGGTCCAAAAGGGGTAAATCTTGCATGCTCTGGGAGGAGCGTGGTGAAGGACCCCTTTGCTTGCAACACGTAGAGATCACCGCTTTTGACATCGTGGAAGAGAAAAATGCAGTGAGGAGCCACAGCAAAGACCGAAAGACCAACAGACACATTGCAGTCATATGGAGACTGAACACGGTATCCATAAAGTATGATGACAGATGCTGTTCCGTGAATGCCTGTCTTGGAGATGGCGTTGGCAAATTTATTGATGAGCGGCTTCTCAATGAAGCCATCGGTCATGAGAAACCAAAGACTGGCTTCCTGGAGCGCACGCCGGGCGACTGCATCCTCAAGAACGACAGAAGGATCGGTCCCAGCACCAGGGGTGAGAAACGGGGTCTGTTGCGGGTGTACGACGCCGAGGCATCGGCCATCCCAAGGGATGACACGAGATTGTGTGTTCGATTCAGCGGGCTTCAGCCCGCCCATCAAGAGGTTGATGGATCGTTTTTCCTCATCGAGGATTCGCCCTCGTGTGCTCCCTGAGACGTCGACTGCGAAGACGAGTGGCAGGTCACGAACTTGCGTACCGTGCCCATCCCCTGCACCGGGCGATGGGCTGGGACAAGCCGGTGACGCAGCATGCAGTGGTGGTGTTGGAAGTCGAGCCCATCCCGGGCGGATGGCTGGTGGTGGAGGCGCTCCGATCGGTGTAGCTTCGCTCGATGGAGTCGGGGGCTCAACAGCTGGCGACAAGGGAAGTGAAAGCTGCTCGCTGAAAAGTGGTGATGGCAGACCAGGCGTTCTCGGAATAGTCTCATTGGCTTGACTGGGACTTATTGCAGGTACATGCCTACCGCGCAACCCTTTAGCAGTCAGCATCCTCTCCATGTTCTTGGACAAGCAGCTCAGAATTCTCCAACGTACGATCGCGAAGCCCTCGCAAGCCAAAATTGGCCGCGATCTTGGGGTGCATAGGCCGGTCAGGAGTGGACGGCATTCTTTTGACTGATGGGCACACTGTGGTCTGCTCTCCGCAAAACGTGCTCCTGGTATTTTGAAATAGAGGGGGTCGCTCAGGTTGGCAAGAGAGTTGTGTGGGAATACACGACTTGGACTTGCTTGATTCCTTACACAGCAGGGGGTGGGTTTGAAATATGTCTTGCCTCTCCGTCTAACGTCGGCGAACCAGCTCGAGGATGGCACAGCCACCAAAGAAGGCGTCGCGCAGGCTCACTAAGCCGCTGCGAGGCTCACTCGGGCAGCCAATATGAAGTTTTCTCACCACACCACAGTGAGGGCGCCGGGCATGCCGCGCTGCAACCCGCAGTTCAGCCCTAGATGTCTCGAGCGAGTTCCTAGGGAACTCTCGCCGGCATAACCAAGTCATAGGACTCCTTGAGGTGAATAGCTTGGCTTCACAAGAGGCACAACTGGAGGGGCATCATAGCCTTGGCTGCCGCCATGTGGCGAGTGTGGTAGTCGAAAGATTGATGGGGAATTCGACGGAGGTGACCGAGTGCTACCGCCCCCCACGACTGAATGTCTGCCGTGAGTGGAGGGGTGGAGGCCTGGCCGGTGTGGTTCGCGGACAGGCTCATCAGCTGCCTCGTCGATAGTGTGGTGCGGCAGCGGCAGTGTGGAATCGACGGCATCCTCGAGCCAATGCGCGTCGTGTTGGCTTGCATAGCGCTTCTTCTTTGCTTTGCCCGGGGTGACGGCACTTTCGCGTGATGACGAGATGTCTTGCGACTGGCCGATGGCATTGTCAACCGCCATGTCAGTCGACGGGCCTGGACGTTGGATGGACTGAGAAGAATCGGACGAGTGGAGGCCTCCAGGCTGGTACGGCCGGAGACCAATGGGGGCATCGAGATGTTCACCATCCGAATTGGCCAGAGCAACGTGCTCATCCTCGGCCACAAGGCTCTGGCGCTCATTCGATTCGTAGGGGTGCCGAGCCAGGTCGGAGCTGCTCAGGGAGGAAGGCTGCGGGGTATCTGCTGTGCTGGGGCCAGATGACACTGCATCTTCAGCCGCTGTGATCCAGGAAGCGTTTAGGGATGATCCATTCGGACGAGCCCTGCGCTTCCGATGGCCTGAGGATTTGACGGTGCCGGCGCCGGTGTTGATGTCGATGCCAGCCATTTGCGGTGAAAGACAGACGTGAAGTTGATGGTGAATGTAAAGCTTGTTGGAGTGAGATCGATAGTAGCCAGATTAGCTGAAGAGTAGGGTAGTAATAGGAGATCAGTCGGAATCGAAATCGGATGCTAAAAGATGAATGAGGAGGGGTCGGGCCGCTCCTTGGGCGACGGGACAGTATGTAGCTGCGTCTGGCTGAGCTGAGGATCCGACCACAGCCGCACCACAGCCACAAGATTGCGTCGAGCCTGCGTCGAGCCTGCCTCGAGCCTGCGTCGAGCCTGCCTCGACCAGATGGCGAGGCGGACTTGAGCAGGTCCCAGGGTGCTGCTTGCCTCAGACAACCAGAGAGGAACAAATACCGTGACTGCCAGCCTACCTGCCTGCCTACCGGACAGCCTCGACACGTGCCGTTTGCCTTCTTGCTCTACTTTGCTTGCTGTGAACCTGTTTTGGCTTCCTCTCGCCGTCCAACATCATGACTGCTCGAGTGCTCACGGCGATGACGCAGCCATTCAAAGACACCTACGCTCCAGAATTGTCAGCCCTCTCCAGTCACCGCCCGGTCTTTGCTTCCCGAGTTCTGCTCCTAACCTGATCTCTGAAGAGAGGACATTAAGACGATCGCAAGATCCCTTGAGGCCTTCCGCGAATCTCACCTGTCAGGAACCACAGACATTGCTCATGTCCTCTGTCAGCCAGGAAACCCAAGAGAAGAAAAGACACTGGCCAGTTCCACTGACATCGCAAACCTCGTAAGTCATGAGCCGTCGTGGTGACATTTCCACGTAGGACTGCAGGGACTTGCTGTGTCAAATATTGAGCTTATACTAGTCCCAGCCTTCAATCAGCTCTGCATGCCACCAGCTATTGTCCGCCCTTCCCATATCCCCGAATGAGAAGAACAAAACAAGGTGAACACGATCTTAACCAGTTTGCCCTAGCTTCATATACAAATACCTCGTCCAGCGACCCCTCGAGCCCGTCCCTGACGATGCCAACAAGCTTCAGATCTCCGCCAGCTCCCTCGAAAGCCTCACCAAGCACCTGACGCTGCCTGCGGCGTTCATCTTCGCCCTCACCCGCTACTACCTGCCCAACGGACGAGGCAGCCGCCAGATCAAGATTGGCGAAAAGACATGCCACGACACGTGGTATTTCCTCCCAGTCCGGGTTCAGGTCGAGACAGTCGGCACCAACCCTCCGTCGAACCCGCCCGCGACCACTGACGACGACGACGCCAGCCAGATGAACCCCTTTTACAAGCTCCATCTTCCGAACGTGCAGAGAGATATCCACCGGTCGTGCGTGGGCATCTTCTCGCGCGTCGAATCGGACTCGCGGCGCTTCACATTCGTGGCCTTTGACTTTATGCACGGCCGCTGGCCCAAGGTCGCCCTCGAGCCAAGGGAGCGCATCGGTGACGTTCTCAAGCGCCACCCCCAGAGTCCCGATGCCAGCTTTGGCCGCGAGCACTGCGTGCACCTCGTCTACCTGACGAGCGCCACCCGCTGGTGGACCAATTCTCTGTCGAGCGTCAACGAGCAGCTCATTGCCTACGAGCGCCGCCTGCAAGCCGAGCTCGACAGGGCTGGCACCACGCCCGAGTCGGTCCTGACGGAGCTCAACAGGGCGCTGCACTCGATCGCCGCGCATCTCCAGCGGTACCTGTCCGAGCTCAAGTCCCTGCGGGGCATCGCGGCCGACCTCTCGGCCGATTACGCCTCTGTCCACGAGAACGACGCCAAGCCTGGCAATAAGGAGGCATTGAAACAGGCGGCCCGCGGCTTTGCCCAGGTTCTTTCGCAGGTCGATGCGGCCCACGAGTTGGCCGTGGAGCTCGAGAAGAAGACGCAGAACATCCTGGCCCTCGTACGTCGCTCCTGCTGCCGCCTCTGCCGTTCATCGAGCCCTGCTAATTCCTCTCGGCAAAGCTGTTCAACAGGATCCAGATTAGCAGCGACCGTCTGCTCGTAGCCAACGGGGAAGCAATGCAGGGTATTCTGAGAGCCATGCAGGAAGACGCCAGCCTTGCCCAGCGGATGGCGACTGAATCGCACAGGCTCGCGCAAGAGATGAAGAAGGACAGCATTGCCATGAAAACGGTAAGATTTCGCCCTGGCATGTGTATAGGCGCCGACAGCTGTTGATGTATGTCTCTGCAGATCGCCATCGTCACCATGTTCTTCTTACCAGGCGCAACATTTGCGGTACGAGCATCCATCCAGTGACCAGGGGTTCTCACCATTTCTCATGCTAACATTCGGCAGACTCTGCTCTCCATGCCATTCTTCAGCGACAACGAGTGGATGGGCCACGCGTCCCGGTTCTGGATTTGGGTCGTCTTCTCTGTGCCGTCTACTGCTGCTTGCTTCATTTTCTACAGCATCTGGCGGAAGCGGGCTCAAGAGTTGGTCAGGGAGGCGGAGGATGGTGTACCCCTGCAAGGCTTGCCGAATATTCGGCAAAACGGACACGTACGATAGCACAACGTCCATCTGTGGGTATCCAGGATGAAGGTTGGTTGGTTACTCTGAGTGACGGTAGTCTTGTTGGTCTTCATGTTTTCATGGGTTGGGCCGGGGTTCGAAATTGCGGCAAAGTGCACAAAGGACATCATCGGGTGTGCAAGGCAGAAATTAGCTTCCCATGCATGAATATATTGTCTCTGACGCAGCGGCAGCCCTCTTGTCATCACGCACTGTTCCAGGAATGCCACGCAGCCTCCCCTAGAATGCCAGTCCAGGTTGTACATCTATATCAAGCTTGTCATCTGAGACAGCCCTCCATGCATGCATAGTCTCCAACAAGGGGGGACTCCAGTACAGATAGATTACCGAGAGCTTGGACCAGATGCAGAACATGAAATCAAAGTGGGTATATGCCAGCCAGGTTTGGATAATGTAGAAAAAGAGGGGGATATCTTTCGCCATGTGGTAGGTGCAGAAGAAATTCAAAATTCAAAAAATGAAGAAAGAAACGCTTGCTCGCTCATACACAAGAATTCCACAGAAACAAATAAAGACACAAGCCATTTATTGTCGCATGGACAGGCCAGGCTCAACCCGTGATCTTCCTCCACCAGCTGCTTCGAGGCGGAGCCGGCTCGGCGGCTGCGCTCGCGCCGCCGCCCCCGTAGAGAGACCGCCGCCGCTCATCGCTGCCTTCCGAACCACCCGCCCCCGTTGGCGCCGCGCCGTTGCGCCGCTCCCGCTCCTCCCGACGAGCGCGGCGGCGACGGTCGTCGCCCTCGTCCGCCGTGGCATCCTCCGTCTTGGCTCGTCGACGACGCTCACGCCTCTCGCGCCTGGCTTCGTCTTCGGTTTCCGGCGGCGGGGGCGCATCTGAGTGCTCCTTGACCCAGGAAGATGTACCGGAATGGGGCCACGCTGGCTTGGCCTCGCCCTTGCGACGGGATCTTTGCTT